CGAGTGAGCATGTGACCCCTTGCCATTGTTTGCTACATGAGTAGCAGATAGAATTTACAGAGAACATATGAATTGACATATATAAATACATACCTAAGTACAGGTGTATATGTATGTAGATATGTACGTTGGCTTCGTACGATATGTGTTTGAAAGCTCTTATGTGTACGCATAAATATGTGCCGCATGAAGCATACGTACATATGTATGTATGTATGTCAAAGGGTCGAGTGGCAGTCACGCGTAATAGTCAAGGCCATTACTCAGTTTGTCGCGGGCAGCATACACATATGCCAATTATACTTTTAGACTCAAATACATACTACATGTACGTACTTACTTGCTAATACTTGCTTCTTGCACCTTTATAAAAATTTCAAAAGCATATAGGGTTTTTCTTAAGTGTTCTAGAACTAAATATTTTTCATACATCCTTGCATGATAAAAATATAGTAAGGTAGAACCGCTGAGAGTCACTTTTAAAATTCTTGACGTTTCCAAACAATTTAATTTTTAAATTTACTCACAAACTCACACACACATTTTCATTTTCTATCTCAAGCAACAACAATTTCGAACAATTTCAATTTTTTATTTTCACTTTTATATGATTTTAAAATGTTGGCAAACTTCAAAAAAAAATCATGGCCGACAAATTGAGAGAACGGTTATACCTTGCTATGTTTTTATCATGCATCCTTGTATACAAACTTTTAAATTCCTTGTGAGTACCCATTCAAAAAATATTTGTGAATAGAAAGTGTAAGTAGCTTTAAAAACTAACTATATAAGATGGTTTGTAACGCATGAATGGAAAAAGGCAAAATTTTAATTGAGAACTTAACCTCAACGTACATAAGTGTTTTTTTTTGTTTTTTATTGATTTTAAATTCCAACGTATGCTCTTTGATCTCAGCATGCCAAGCTGATGATTTTTTTATATACATATATCAGCAACGGAGCCACCCTGGGTCTAAGATCTTTATTTATAAAGCAGAACTAGGAAACTGTCTACAAGGCACTTTTTATGTCCCTTCTGCGAAATTGTGTTGTGTTATTTTGGGTTGTGTTGTTATGTTCTGTGAAACTTTACTCGAACGTTATTTTGTTAATATGCGTAAAAGCAAATTTCAAAAAAAGCACGCTCAACTCTAAAACTTTACAATATTTTGAGTACCAGTTACAGAGATATTTTAATGTTTATCACGGTAATGCTGCGAGTAACCTTCGCAAACGATGTAGTTCGCAAATGATAAGAAATTATGTTCAAAGCAACAACTTACATACCATAGCCACTCGTAGGATTTAAAAGCATCATTTAGTGCTCAACATGTTGCTGCAACATTTAACCTGCGTAACTTAAACCATTCAATGCTACAAGTGTCATTGCGGCAAGCACAAATTTA